AAAATTATCGGTATATGTCACCTTTCATTAGTTAATAACTGAATATACTAGACTATAACTGTTGGAGGTGGGATTATGATAACCCCATTGATAACAATTGAACAAGTGTCAGATTTACCAGTTCTTTGACATCTTGAATACTGTGTGCGCCAACATGTACTATAACAGCAGTAAGTCTACAGAGAGAAATCATAGTTAAATTATTGAATCTTTTGACAAAATTTAGAGAAAGTCAATGACACTCCATGTCATCGGATTCAAGAGAAATATTCACTGCTACAAAAAGTTTACAAAATTCATTGACTCATGGAATTCATGAACATTTGTCAAGTTCTGAATACAAATTACACCTTTTGAAAAATACATTAACTCAGAATGGTAGTGATCCAGAATAAAACATAGAAGTGAAAAACCTTAATTCAATTTTAAATTTTAATAATTTTGGGAGATAGATTTTTTCATATTAACCACATGTTTTCATATTACTTACTTATTTCTGCCTGCCTCAACCCATTTTTCAGCCACTTTTTTTCTTTCCTCCACATTCATAGAAACCCCTTCACCAGTTGATCCGTTAACTGTTATATAAAAAACATACAGTCTAGAAATACTTTATAATTCACTATAAAATGCAATTAACCTTTCAACAAATATATTGCATACTCACCAAAAACGGAGAAAACTCCTTCATCTACTAAGTGATCAACATACAGGTCTATAATTGGAAGATTTAATGACCTGAAAAAAATGTCAATACTTCAGTGTATAAATGACCTAGTCAATTTGCAAAATTTATTGCACAGCTGGTCATGCTATTTAATACTGATGAACTAAGCAACATACAAATCCTTACAAAATAATTACTTTCATAAAGGTTAATATTTATTTATTTTAATAGATTATTATTGATGTCATAGTAGCTAATCAGCTTGACAATAAAAGAAATGAGTGATAATCCATATTATATATACCTCATAGCCCTACCAGCCAATCAGGTTTGCAGATTTGTCAGTCTGTAAATTTGAATATTAACTTCTCCAGCTGTGAACAATGTCCTAACAGTTTTTATTAATTGTTGTGCAAGAACACAATCCTGAATTTATCTTTGAATTCAAAAAACAGTAACATCTATCAAGATTGAGCAGTCAATCACCATTTTGAACAAGTTGTGACTTGTGTTATGACAAGTACCGTACCATAATCGCACTGACACGAATATCAGAGGTGTGTCCATGCCCAAAATAAAATCGTATTTAGTATATAGTATACAGTAAACGCATGTATGTGCACTTCTGTTTGAAATGTGCGTCTTATAGAGCAAAAACAGTAGCGATAATCAATCAGAATCATGTTGTTGAAAATATGCCGCTAACCTCCTGGAGCTTTACATTTCTCAAAATTTTATGACGTTTTCACATTTTAATGTGTCTGCTTGTTTTTATCTTGATGTAGTCAATTTGTAATCTTTACATAAACCACTAATTTCATTCGAAAATCAGTTTACACCTTGCACAAATATTACAAGTGATCTAAAAATGGCTGTTCTTACATGGAGTTTTCTTAGCATTTCCTCAACAGCTATGTAACCAAGGTATTGAACATTTCTTGGGAAGAGTTGAACTCTATATAAATATTTGTAACCGAGTGATAATCATCAAACACCATGACTGACTAAATGCTCAAGTATGTCTAGAAAGGCCACACTGCGTACATGGCTTAGTGCTGAAACTTGAACATTTCAGAATTTGTGATTTTGTACAACATTTTGTATTTCTATTTATTTTATTATAGAGTTGCATTTATTCTGCTCTGAATGACCATAGTACACGGTTTTTGTTAGTGTGCACAGATGTGTAGACCTTCAGAGAGCATTACTGACCACAGCTTTTTCTCGTTCAATGCCCCCTTCCCAATGACAAATCTGTGTATCAACCTTGAGCTCAATATTTGTATATTTTCGCTTGGATTTAATTAAACGCTATTTTAGCTGAAGGAGTGATTCAGTGAAAATAAATTCAATACAAAACACCCAAAATGTCCTTCCATCAAAAATTAATTCCAGTTAAAATAAAGTATTTTACAGTAATACTGTAGAATACTTTATTTTCGCTTGGAATTTATTTTTGCTATTTTCGCTGAAGGGATGATTCCGTGAAAATAAAATCCAGCGAATATACTTTTTTGTCCTGTATTTCACATTAAACTCATCAAAAATCAGTAAAAGTAAATTCCACACAAAATACCCAAAAAGCCTTTTCAGCAAAAATTAATTCCAGCGAAAATAAAGTATTCCACAGTATTGACTTTATTGAGAAATAAAGACATAATCAAAATATATATTTCTATGAATAATAATATTAAGTTGCTTCAAGTGTAGTACATTGTTTATTCTATAATGATAAAACAATCAAAATATAATACATTCTGACAATTACACTGACCAGGTAATTAATTAATTAATTAATTAAAATAATACAGAAACCAAAACTGTATTAAATACTCACCCATCTTCTTTGAATGGTGCATATGGGGCTGCAATCAATCCTTTTATATGAAGTTCCATCTAGAGATGCAATCAAAAATGTTTTTTATTTTATAGACTATAAATTTACAGTGCAAATTAACCTAGGGATAAAACAATATGTTTATAATATTGATGGTCTGTTTTGGAAACACAAATTACACAATTACAGGAAACACTCTACTATGTGCCAGTATAAACTGCATGGGTTAAACATAAATTTGTTATATCTCTGATATGTTATTGTGGTTTTCAGTAGAAGTATTTTAACATTTTGTCTTTTTCACTTATTTTTAAATTGTGATTCCCTAATGTTGCTTAGCTTAATATTGTCAATGTTTGTATTTTTCAAGTTTTATTTATTTTTACAGCTTCTGTATGTTTCTGTAATTTTTTTTTCTCGTGCTGCCTCTTTGAATAGTAAGTTGTCTGTAGTTAACATATGGCTGTAATATTTAATACGAATGTGTCAACGGAAATGTACCAAATTTTGAACAAAACATCTAGACGATATCTGAGGTAGCTGGTACGGAACTATTCCATAGCAGACTTGTGTGAGCATTCATGCACCCAGACATCACTACCTAAATCAAAGATTGGTTGGATTAATTTATAAAAACAGGAAGACAATGCAGTAGTTATTTTTATATTTTGTTTATATTCTATTTTTTCTTTTAGTAAAAATAGGCTTTTTGCCCCTTTCTTTTTGGATTTGCAAGTGCTTGGGGTGGGCTTGAGATAATTAAATCTTTTAGTCAGGTTTTTTTTTCACTGCCTTCAAAAAATGATCAGACTATCACTTAAAAGTCTCTCCCATTCATTAAAGATCATAGCGTTTGTTTTCTCAATATATACTTTAAGTTTCCAATGTCATTTTGTTTCAGATAGTAGAACAATATCATTTGCAGCTGACTGGCGTTTCCTTTACAGTTAGAGGTTTACATGTGTTGGGATCATTTATAAAATAATTGAATAGTAATGTAAACAAAAAACTTTATTATGGGTTACTTAATACAATCTGAAGCTGGTTGAGAAAAAAAAAAGAATATAGTTTTAATAAAAAAAGTAGGTGGTCCAACTTATTATAAAGAGACTATGGTAGTACATGTATAAGCCTAGCAAGGTCACTGGTGTAGGTGGCTGCATGTCACATGTATACAGTAGATCCTTGAAAAGGGAGGATTCAATGGACATGAGAATCTGGTTATCTTACATCAAATCATACCAGGGTCAAGTAAAAAGGATGAATGGCCTTTAAAGATAAAGATAATGGAAGCTAATTCATAATATATACTATATGCTCTAGTATAAATATATGTAGACACTTTTCGTTTATGATGCAAAAGATGAATGTTCACAAGTCTTACAAACTTTCATTACAATCTGAATATCATAGATTATTAAATAGCACAAATATGAAGACAAAATTATTTCGCCGGCATAACTTTATTGGGGGGGAACATTATTTCCACTGTGGTTTTAAGGTCAAAGATTATATATTTTTTAACAGTCAACAAGTTTTAAGATCAATTTGCATAGATGACTAATAACATCACAGAACCAAGACTGCTTTTTTATAAAAATCAACACAAAGTTCTGTAATATTAACTACTTTATTTTCACTTTATTTATCTTTCTCACTGAAGGAATGAATCAGTGAAATCAAGTGAAAATTACTCCTATATATTTTTTACATTCAACTCATCAAAAATCAGTGAAAATAAACTTCAGCAATAATTAAGTCTAGCTAAAATAAAACATCATTGAACAGTAAATATATTAATTGAATTACAAATTAACTGCTATTAATATAACATTACCTTGCCATTGACTTCTTGATTGTTCATATTTATACCAGATTTTCAAAATAAATATCTGAGAATTAATTGAAAACAAATTCATGATAAAATATAGGATCTTTGGAGGGTAACAATAAATCTCTCGGTGTTTGGGGCTGATATATGACACATGTGTATTATGATATTATTATAATTTTAAGGATGCAATAAAATATTACTAATACTATGATATTGTGACTATAAATACATGGGTGATGTACATATATACATTATTGGCTGGCAACCCAAATTAATGTGGTTCACATCATTGTGAATCCATGGCATTTCAAAACACTATTTCTTAGAGAAAAATATTATAGACAGAGGAAATAAAAAAATTACAGCGAATTCGTCATTGAAAAAAAATAGCACAAAGCTAAGTGAAGACAACAAAATAGTTTGCTTAGTTTTTCTGCCACCCCCTAGAGTTTCTAATGGTCCACCCCTTAATCATAAACATCACCCAGTATATCACTCTCATATTTGGAATGAGTATCAAATGTCTTGGTAGTGAACTGCTCAATGATATTTTTCTGCACGGATTCACCTATTTTCGCTTCTTTATTTTCCTGGAAAAATGACTTCCACTTTCGCAGATTTTTTTTTTCGTCGACCTACATCCCTCGAAACAAAGAAATATATGAACTGCACGGTTGGCGCAGCCGCCGAAGAGCACGAACGACCCTCAATAAAAATAACGATATGTAATAAGATATTAACCTACCAGATAACTGTATTTGATTTTCTTGCTTTTATAACATAAAATATAAAATTATACAGGATGTATAGTGGACCACTATCACGATGTATGCGTCATGCGCCAGTGAAAACATCAACACAATAACCGGAAGCCGCCAGAAATCCCTTAGTCAGCTGATAACAAGCACGTGACTGACACAGATTGTAAACAACCTGGCAAAAGTTCGTTGACTTCAAGTTGTGTCTCGTTGACTTGCTATTTCATATGGACCCACTTAATAGTTTGTAAAGCAAGAATTTAAAAAAAAGGTTGAATATGTCCGAGAGAATATTTATATTACTTTCGCCGAATTGCGAAAATTATTATTCCTTTGCAAGATATCCATAAATGTAAGCGTGTTGAGTTGACTGCCTGGTGTCCGCCGAACTTGGCCAGATTCCGAGTGTTGTTTATTTCAGTGACGGAGCTGTCATTTTCAAACAAAGTACAAAGTGTTGTTGGTTTAGTACAGATTACCCGAGTCATATCACGGTAAAAAATTAAATACTGAACTGTGTTGGTGATTTCAGTGACGCAGCAGTACTGTGTCATATCGCGGGGATACACGGGGACAAGGGTTGTTTAAAACACAGTCCCTCTAACCTCTGTGATTGAAATAAACGATTGTACGACTGCCAATAGTCATATCACGGTAAAAAAAAACTACTGTATTAAGATACACGGGCGGCCAGGGTTGTTGATTTCAGTGGCGCAGTATTATTCGTGTTGTTTTCCTGACGGTCGCCGATGCGATTTATGTATTTCCGATGTACTATAACTATAATAATATTTATTAGACGCATAAAATCCTTAGAA